CGGAGTTCGCGTGCCGCAGCGGCGCCTGCGTGCGCCTGGACGCGTACTGCGACGGTGAGGCGCACTGCGCGGACGGCAGCGACGAGCCAGCGCACTGCTCCGTGTGCAACCGCACGTACTACGGCCGCGTAGGCGTGGCGTACGCGGTGGCGGTGCGCTCGGCACCGCGCGCGCCCTTCCTGTGCCACCTGACGTTCACGGCGGGCGGGGGCGCGCACGGTGACCTGGTACAGCTGGCCTTTGACGAGTTCCGCGTGGGGCGCTACGAGCCGGGCGCCATGGACGGCTGCCCCGACGGGTACATGCAGCTGTCCGAGCTCGGGCGCCCGTTCACCGGCGGGTCGTGGTGCGGCGAGGCGGATGGCGCCGCGCTCTACTACAGCGAGACAGCGACGGTCACCGTGTCGGTCAAACTGTTTCGCGCACGTCTCGGGGAAAATTTTGGCTTCCGGTTGCGTTACAAATTCTTGGCTCAACGCGATGCTGTCGTCAGGTAAATAAATGTACTATCAACTTTAAATTATGACTTAGCATAAGCTTATTTATTTTCTTACAGAAATTCCAGTTTACAGAGTGTACAGCGGGGTAATAGCTTTACGCCACAATCCTACTGTACAGGACTACCTAATCCTAATAAAAAATAAATAAAATAAAATAATCTTTATTCATAAATGTAAATGGACACAGATACAAAAATATTCCCTGGATAAGAAAATTAGATCTCACATGGTTAGGTGCCTGTACTAGGATAATCCTGTGTCACAGGCGAGAGTAGATCTAACATAATTATAATTTTATTGTAATACATTCTTTTTTCTACAAACATAATACTTGATATAATTCTGACAAACTAAAATATGACTATTTAATATACATACACACATACATAGCCTCACGCCTTATGCTCCCGGAAGAGATAGGCAGAGGTGAAACAACTTAAGTGTAACATGACAATATAGTGTAGGTAGTTAGCTTAGGTATGCAATACTCTGATAATTAAAATTATGATTTATGTAAGACAGAAATATATTATTTATCACTATAGTCTACGAATTACTTGCATCGGTAGAGATATAAACTAGGTTAGAGTCCACAATCGTACACTTGAAGTTTTAGTACAAATTACAATAATGTGCTTAGACAGCAACCAGGTGATGAATAAGTCAACCTGTCTATCTTGCGCAACTGTAATACATAAACTTATAGCGTTCTTACGTATCTCCATAGTCTACCGAGTTTATGTACCGTTTTTCGGCCATAACATTTGCAGGACATTCAGTAGCACCAGTCGTGTGATTGTGGGGCTTCTTGAAGTGAACGCAAGTAGCACATTTCGGCTCATCTGACTTTTTTGGGCAATCTTTTATGGAATGATCCTGTTCGCCACAATGTCCGCAAGTAAAAGAGGTCTGCCGACATGATTTAGCAGCATGTCCGTACTGATGGCACTTGAAGCACCTGGTCACCAGAGTGAAGTCGCGAACAGGGCATGATGACCAATTTATAAAGACGGTCCTGGGATATTAGGGCTTTTCGAATGACTGCAGTTACTTCGATCACATAATTGCAGGTCTCAGCATCTCTCCTCCCTGATTTATTGTCGTTAAGAAAGTGTCAAGACTGCAGTTTTCCAACTTGTCTGCCAGATTTTGGTGGTATAAACATGTTAACATGTCGATGTCGGACATAGCCGATGACACTCCTATGAAGACGACCCTAGGATTTCTTTTCTTCGGCTCATCGATAGTTAGGCCTGAACTTATAAGTTGCGCTGACTGTCTTAATTTTACTATATCGCCTTTTGACTCGGTACTGATAATGACGCCGCCGTTTTTAGTTTTGTGGAGGCCTCTAACGTGTAATTTCATTTCTTCAGGGCGGATAATTTTTTGGACCAGTATTTTCGTCTCATCACTCGTCTTAGTTTTGTCGTTGGGATAAATGACTACAGAACTTACTTTTAAGGGCTGGATGAAATTATTCGCACCTTTTTTTACCATATCGGCGAAAGAGTTTATTCGGGGAGGTATAGGAGTTTCAGCAATTCTCTGTTGAAGGTCTTGAAGCTGCAGGGAGAGGTCTAATTGATTCTCAAGATTACAAGCACTTTGGTGGGCAAGTAGGGCTCTGGCTTTGAGGGATTGATAAAGTACTGCCATCTGTGAAGTCCCGTTACTCACTCTCCTGCATAGGGCGTTGACTCGCAGCTTTTGTTTCGAATTCATTTTGCCATCACTGACAATATGGCATATGTCAGTAAGGGTCTGGTCGATTGTCGTTAGCCACTTCTGGATCTCGGGCGTCGCGACAACTTCAGGGGCAACGGTACTTTGGGTCGGTGGTTGTAAGGTCGATGCAGATGTAGATGCAGGTGTACCAGGCGGAGAACGCACAACCCGGTTACTCTGTGCAAAAGGGCTGTTTTCCATGATGCAAAGTATTCACTTGTCAATTACAGAACATTGTCAATTCACACTTTTATTTATTTATTTATTTATTTATTTGTTTATTTATTTATTTATTTATTTATTTATTTATTTATTTATTTATTTATTTATTTATTTATTTATTTATTTATTTATTTATTTATTTATTTATTTATTTATTTATTTATTTATTTATTTATTTATTTATTTATTTATTTATTTATTTATTTATTTATTTATTTATTTATTTATTTATTTATTTATTTATTTATTTATTTATTTATTTATTTATTTATTTATTTATTTATTTATTTATTTATTTATTTATTTATTTATTTATTTATTTATTTATTTATTTATTTATTTATTTATTTATTTATTTATTTATTTATTTATTTATTTATTTATTTATTTATTTATTTATTTATTTATTTATTTATTTATTTATTTATTTATTTATTTATTTATTTATTTATTTATTTATTTATTTATTTATTTATTTATTTATTTATTTATTTATTTATTTATTTATTTATTTATTTATTTATTTATTTATTTATTTATTTATTTATTTATTTATTTATTTATTTATTTATTTATTTATTTATTTATTTATTTATTTATTTATTTATTTATTTATTTATTTATTTATTTATTTATTTATTTATTTATTTATTTATTTATTTATTTATTTATTTTTCATGGAGGACTTACAGCATATAAAAATGGATAAAAATAACAATAGGCGTAGGTAACAGTGAGCCAATAACAAGTCCTCACGTTTAACATTTGAAATAAATTAATTAATATGGTGTGAGTACTATACAATATTAAAAATACATACATTCTGCGTAAATGGAAAAAAATAAATATTGAAACAGACCGTACAGACAATATGATTATGAACAGATCAAGAGAAACGAAAAAAAAAAAACTAAAGATCTAGTGCTGCTTAAAAAATTTAAGGCTTAAGCACCTCTTTGCCGAGTTCACACTAGTTGTAAACGGATCGAAGTCATATTCCTTACAAACATTGTTAAAGTGTCTGCTTGCACGCATAATGTAACTGTTCTGCCTGTAGTTAGATGAGGAACGGGATACGTGTAAAGGTGGATTAAATCTAAATATTTTATTAGGTACATTAAATTTGATTTTTGATAATAGTTCTGGACTATCCACATTGCCGTTAAGAACCTTAAACAAGAATAGACAATCTGCAATATTGCGTCTATCTACCAATGGTAATAGATGGAATTTTCTACAGAGTTCAAGATAACGGGCAGACTGGTATGGTATATTTTGGTGGAAACAGAGATATTTTATAAAACGTTTTTGAATGTTTTCCACGCGGTCAATATATTTTTGATATCTTGGATTCCATACCTTTTACACGATGACGCACGTTTTGTCCAGTATTAATGTGCAATTGTTAATCTAGAGGTAGGTCACGATATTGCAATCGTAATTATTTTATTTTATTTTCTAATAAGTTAATCAAGACGTCCGATTCATATGAAAGTACAATAATGTAATCCACGTAGTGTAGGATAACGTTAGCTTGTAGTCAATAATCACTACAAGCTAACACTATCCTAAATAATCTAACACTTATAGTAACCTATCCTATAATCCTAATTAACCCCCTACGCCTAATTACCTATGTAGTCTAAATCCTATACAGACCTACGCTTCGTACGCGCATAATGCCCTAGCCCTACAGTCCCTAGACCCTAGCCCTACCATACGTATTTATGTATACTTATATAGATAGGTGCTGGATATCTGCCACCTGAGACCTATGATGGCAGACAGAATGTGGGTAGGAATAGGGTATGGTGGTGATGGTTTTCTCACTGCCGGTCGATCAGACTCACCCGACAGATCGGTCGATGGCTAAAGGTGTCTTGGCCGCAGTGAGAGGTGGAGGAAGGGTAGTGAGTCAAAGTCGGAATCAACTAGTGACTCCTTTATTTCTTATTCTACTTGATCTTATATATTTTATTTTATTTTATTTAGGAAACAAACAGTCACATAAAAAACAAAACTTATATAAGAAAACAATAGGTTCAAAAAGACTTCGAGTTCCATACAATTTTTAAGTGTAGCATGAAAGTAACCTACCCACAATTTATTTTAAACAGAATACACAAGCACATGCAGTCAAACATAGGTTACATTATTTTAAGAGTAGGTTGCGCAATTTAATTTTATATGATGCTAAACTGTGGTTAAATACATCTATTTCGTTAAATTTACAATTATAAGTGTCTATGCTACGTATCCTATGTATGTACACACATACCACACTATGATTGTGTGCTATGCGTGTAATGTACCATCTCAGCACTATATCCTTACGTGAGTACATGATGTTTTTTTTTTGTATACTCCGGAATATTTTTTATTGGCAATCAATAAAAATAATAATACTCCGGAATTAATATTATGTTTTTGCAGTACTTTATCACGTAGGGTTACTTCGCTGATATGGCATGTTCATGTGTGAACACAGAGTGTCCCGCATCCGCAAAACAATTTTAAATACTACCTACTTACTTATAAATTGAGTTTTGAAAATGCTTTACTGTGATACTCTTATCTTATGAATTAAAATGGAAAGTACGCTATTACAAATACCTTAGCTAGATAAAAGATTCATATCTGTTTCGCTGGTGTAATATTAAAAATATTATTTTTTTTATATGAAGAGGTACAAGGGTAGTGCTGTCTTTAAATTAATGCGACCGAGTACGGCTCATGCAAGTCAAGCGGGTCATGCATGTTTCAAAGTGGATTATTCACTGGTCGTTTCAAGCATGCGAAGGCTATCATTTCATCGATAATAATGAACTCATTGCGTAGCCACGTACAAGTAGAATGGTTGCAGGTTCGGCGCGATGGAGGCTCCGCTGGAGCGCGGCGCCGTGTCGCCCGGCACGTACTGCACGCGCACGTACGAGGAGTGCCACCGCAAGCCGTGCCGTCTGCAGAGCCCCAACTACCCCGGCATGTACCCCAGGTACTGTCAGCCCTGCGTGGCCCGTGACATGCTCAATGTTTATACTCATTGTAATATTTCATTCTTATGTTCACAACAGAAACGTCACGTGCTACTGGAGTCTTCGGCAAAAAGACATTCCGACGTGTAAACATGCGATGATCTCTGTGCGACAAGAACATTCTCACAAGATGCAGATTAAGCGCTCGATATCGATGGCGAGGTAAGTGACAGTCGCGGCGTGCGGTGTACATGGGGTGTGTGTGTGTGTGTGTGTGTGTGTGTGGAGACTGAGCGTGTGTGTGTGGCAGCCTCAACAAGACGGGGCGCGTGGTGCGCGCGTGGCGCGAGTGCACGGGCGAGCGCGACCGCCTCATCTTCTACGACGGCGCGTCCACGGACGACCCCGTGCTGGTGGAGTACTGCGGCGGCGACTGGCTGCCGCGCGTGACGTCACGCGGGCCCGAGATGCTGGTGGCCTTCCACTCCTCGCCCTTCAGCGCGCCGCTGCGTCCGCCCGCACCCGCAGCGCCCCTGCGCGGCTTCGAGCTCGATGTTGACGTCGTCTTCGCCGACTCCGACTCGCTCGACTACGCTAGGTAGGTACTACATAGTACTTGAATAACACTTTTATTTAACTGATACAGTTCAATACTGGTATGCGTACTGCCGTGCTTGTGCGAATTAAGATTCCTCAATATGTGCACGTGTATGTGTACACGTTGTAGTGAAGTTAGAGTAGTTTCTAATATTTTAAACTGTCAAACACCAAGCGGTCCGGTGACCGCAACCTATTGTTCTATAATTGTGTCTATAATGACGGTACTCGACGAGTTAAAATAGGTCAATACATTGTTTTATAATCATTATACTTTGGATCATTGACGCTAGAGAGGCACGACGTTGCGAGTTTCACGTCAAAGCTTCATCGTCCGAGGAGGAAACGAACACTACCATTGCGGGCAGCGGTCGCGGCCGCCGGGGCAAGCTGCGGGCACCCGCGCACACCCTGCCCCCCAACACCACCTGCACCTGGACGTTCCACGGCCGCCCAGGTAACGCGACACGCCTGACATTCCCCCCTGTCCTGTAGCTTTCATCGACGTATGAATGCGCTCACCACCGCTACTTTCTGTAGGAGATCTAGTTTGGATTTACTTCTCGAGCTTCACGCAATACTCACTGGTCGAGCCCCGCCGCATCGAAAGTGCGGAGCGGGAGGAGGAGGGGGGCGTGGGCGCCACCCGGCCGCGCTCCGGGCGCGCGCGACCTGCGGCCGGCGCCTGCGCGGTCGAGCTGCGGATCTGGGACGGCGGCGGGGCAGACGAGGCAGGGACGCGCGCGCTGGGCCGCTACTGCGACGCGGCGCCGGCGCTGCGCGCTGCGCTGGCCAATGCGACGCGCGCGCCGCGGCCGTGCGCGCCGCCCGACGGGTACGTGTCGGCCGCGCCGCTCCTGTCACTGGCGGCCACCTCGCGCCCCGGCACCGCCACGCATCCGCTCGAGTTCGCTTTACATTACGAATTTGTGGACGCGCGGCTCGAAGGAGCTCCTCTGCCCGATGATGGCCGACGTCCGCGAGCGTTGCCGAACGATTGCGCTCGTTGGTTGACGACGCCAGGAGCGTTCGCGTCGCCGCGGAACGCTCTTTGGTTCGGGCGCGGGGGCGCGCGGCGGCTCCGCTGCGTGTACCGGTTGGAGGCGGCGGACGCGCGCGTGGCGCTGGAGTTGGTGTCGGCGTCGTTCGGTCGGGAGCCGCGCTGTGTGACGCGGTCGGACGCGCTCACCGGGCGCCTCGTGTGCGCGCCGGACCCACTGGACGCGCGCCCCGAGGATGCTGACGTCATCGACGAGGGTCTAGTCGACTTCGACGGCGATGATGATACCCCATTGCGAGTGCCTCATTTAAAGATATATGAATCTCCGTGGCCCGGATACAGGGTGAGCAATTTTTATTTCATCATTCTCTTCTATAGTTATCAATAGTTTGGCCTGTTCTGCCGTTTACAACCTAGGGCGTTGTACGTCTCAACGAAACACGACGACAGGTACTTGTTGCCTCGTCGCGTCGGTAGAACAATTGCAACGAATGATGATCACCAGTGATCGGAATAGGGTGAGTATATTTACCTATAGTTTGTAGAACGAAGTCTAAAATCGGAGACTTCCTTACAATTAAAACATTTTTACCGGTAAATTTACTAGAACTTTAATTACGTGAATTTTAACATCTTATTAATATTTAAATTGTGAATACTATTCGTTTTATAACTGCTTGACTTGACTATGACTGTTTAAAAAGGAGCGTTTTCTTGGTTCGCGTGATCTTTATTTCGTTAGTCCAATCAAATAATAAAACAAATCATAAATCATCATGATTCGATCATTATTTTAAGAGACAAATTGGTTTTGTAGTTCATATTTCTATTTGTTTCATTGAATGTAAAGAATCTACAGTCGAATTTGTTTTATAAAGTGGCTACCTTTTAACCTCAATGTTTTTTGTGCAATCAAATTGTGAAAACACCGCGAAAGAAAATAGCGCGATAGAATCCATAATCAAATAAAAAAAATATGCACATACATATTGCCGGGAGTTACATAAAAAAATACAGTGTCACTCACGACACCTAAATTCATTTGGTAGATCACGAGATATGGTGGACTAATAAAATAAAGATCACGTGAAATTTTTAGTTGTAAGGACGTCTCCGATTTTTGTCTCTGTTCTACAAACTGTAGGTAAATATGGTCACCCTATTCCGATCACTGGTCAATGCAACTTATTCGACATTGATGCATTCTAAAGGAAAGGTATGAAAGTGAACGTGGACAACACAAAAGTGATGGTGATAGAAAGAAATGAGATAATAACAGAATTTCAGGTGGTATTATATAACAAGTTTGTATACCTGCGATCTCTGTTTACGGATGATGGAAACTGTGGGGGGGTATTGAAAGGAGAGTGGCAACGGGAAGTGTGTGTGTGTCAATGGTGCCTTACACTCTGTAATGTCGAGTAAAATTGTATCCAGCAAAGCCCGGCTTGACGTAATACATCGTGTATTGACAAAAACGCTTATGTATGGGAGTGAATCATGGGTATTGCAGAAGTAGCATGAAAGCAGGACTAATGCGGTTGAAATGTAGACCCTGAGAAGTATGTGTGAAGTAAAGTTTAATGATAGATAAAAATAATGTTAAGAGAAAGGTGTGGATTCAAAGAGAATGTAGGGACACGGATTGACAGGGGAGTGTTACGATCACAGAACATGTAACGATGGATAAAAGCAGATTTATGGAATAAGTACATCGAGCGGACATGACCGGGCCGTCGGTAGAGTACTCGTAGTGTTAGAAGCGAGTGTAGAGTAGAGTGGCGGTAGGTGCCCGTGGCCTGCATCTGCGACAACGGCAGCGCGCCGCTGCGGCTGCAGTCGGGCGGCGGCGCGCTGGAGCTGGAGCTGGTCGCGCGCGCCCTCGCGCCCGCCGAGGACCATCGCCACCTGCACTTCCGCGGCACCTGGGCGCGCGCCCCCGCGCCCGCGCCCCCGCCCGCCTGCGCCGCGCGCCGCCGTCTGCCGCCGCCGGGGGCGCGCGTGCACCTGCTTTACCCGTACAGGTTGCGTATTCCCATTGTTTACATAAATGTTTGTTGTTTTATTAGGTGTTGTATAATATTGCCCTCTATAAATTC